CACCTAATTCGGACATAGCTCTCGTCGAACGGCTACATGGTGTTCCATTTCAGCGAGAAAGTTGACTTAAATTTACCAGTTGTAAGCTACCGTTGGCGTGGTTTAGTACAAAATTGCAGATCTTACTGAACCACCTGCGTTGAGTCATGAACTAGTTCTGTTACGCTTCACTCTTTGACTCATCGTTCACCGGCAGAAATCGCGTCCTCAGTTAGCTTATCATCGTCTGTGCGATCCATCTGTCTGAACACATTATGAGGAGAAGCTGGATCAGGAGCTAGGAGAATCGCGACATAGTTGGGTAGGCCAAAAGTGGGATCAAATTAGATTTGCGATGCACTCAGCAGCGAATTTTGCTTCTGGGACCGAGCCCAACGTTCGCCGGACATTGGATCTCTCAGGAGTCAGTAATCCTAACGAATCAAAAGCGGAAGATCCCAATCTCCCAGGATCAGCATAGTGACCGGTGGCGCCTACAACGCCAACTCAGGAAAGACCTTAGGAAGGATCGCGAAAACNTCAAAATATTTGGGGAAATGGATGTAGCTTCTGCATCAGGGAATAGTCAGAGACTGTTTCATTTGATACGCAGAACCGGAGGTAGTCGCACACTGGTCAGTGAGACCATTTGCGATAAAAGTGGACATAGTATCCACAATGAAGAAGAACGGCTTGATCGATGAGCGGAGTATTTTAGGGAAAAGTTCAATTGATCCAGTGCTAATGCTGTCATTCAGCAATCGTGGCGGAAACTCCATGGGTGGTAACATGTGAGTCCCCATCAGAATTGGAGGTATGAAGCTGCATTCAATCATTAAAGAAAGGGAAGGCTACGGGACTTGACGGGCTCATCCTTACTCTTTTTTAGTCGGGCGGTGATTCTCTTGTCAATTCGATTGCTAGCTTACTTCACAGCATTTGTTTGGAGGAGCGTATCCCTTTGTCCTGGGGTGAATCGTTGATCGTCCCGATCTTCAAGAAGGGATCACGCAACGATTGCAGGATTAGTTTAGTTACGATAATCACAAAAATGTTGACTTCTGTGATACTTCACCGCCTGATACCTTTAAGCGAGATAAATATTCGCCAACAGCAAGCCGAATTCCGACCAGGTCGCGGTTGCATCGACCAAATCTTCACTCTGCATCAAGTCCTCGAATTATGTTACACACATCGTCGATGGACAATCACAGTGTTCCTTGACCTAAAAGGAGCTTTCGATTCAGTTTACTGTGAAGCTCCTCTGGGGTCGCTGCTTCGCAAAGGAATACTTAGGAAGTATGTAAACCTATTGTACCTGCATACTTCTGGTAGCGTAAGGGTCTTCTTGGGCCTAAGTAAATCGTTCGAAACCCGGAACGGTGTTCGTCAAGAGTGCCCTATTTCGCCATTCCTGTTTAAGTTCTTCATAGATGAAATACTGGAGAACGCACTTAGTGGTCTCAGAAACGTAGACATTCAATGAACAGCTGGAGAAACGCTGTGCGATTTCTTAGTCTTTAAGTTATCACAGTAAGCTTTTCGTATATTTCGGATCCTGACCCGTATATCGTACGTTTTTGGTGATACAACCTCTTTTCTAATTGTCGTCATGTTATCGATCGTCTCCTAGAGACTTTCGCTACGATAGGTAAATCATTCGCCGTGTTTTTGCTTAAATATATTGTTGAAATTAACCGGAGATTTCTCGATATCACCAAAGTACTGGAGAACGCACTTAGTGGTCTCCAAAACGTCGGTATTCAATGGGCAGCTGGTGAAAAGCTGTGCGATTTAGAATACGCTGATGACATCGTATGTCTGTTTGAATCTATGGAGGAGGCGTTGTGCGCTCTTGTCAGACTAGTAAGTTCTGTTTCTCCTTCGGGCATGCGCTTTACACCTTCAAATTGCAAAGTGATGCTACAAGACTGGGTGTCGTCTACCCCAGCGCTGATGCTTGACGATCAAGAATTAGCTGTAGTGGAATGTCTCACATACATGCGTTTCAAATGACAGTAGCATAGTCAATGAAGTAACCGCCCGCATTTCCAAGGCTCGAGCAGCTTACGCATGACTGAAACACCTCTGGTGCGGACGCGATGTTTCGCTGAAACTGAAAGGCCGTGTGTATTGAGCCAGCATGCAGTCAGTACTGTTTTATGGTTGCGAGACCCAAAATTAGCGCGTGGAAGATCTTCGTCGTCTAGAAATCTTTGACTGTCGATGTTTGGGTATTTTGGCGCGGGTTGGATGGAGCGAGCGTGTAGGCAACTCGAAGGTAAGATGTCGCGTGTTTGGTAATGATTTGATAGAGAGTTCGTTGTCTCAGCGAATTCATATTAGTCGACTTCGCTGGTTAGGACACGTATTGTGCATGCCCAGCCATCATCTATCGCACTGCGCCTTATTCGCAGTTGTGGCTCCAGGTTGGAAGAAACCGCGTGGAGGTCAACAGATGATATGGAAACGAGGCATGACGAAACGAAAGAACTATTAGATAGAATCGGTGTCTCCCGTCTTCCAGTTTAGGGTGGGAAGGACTCCGCAACTGGTTTGTTGCAGACATTGAAAGATATGGCAGCGAACCTACAGCAGTGGCGTTTTCGTTATCATTTCTCATGAGGTAAGAATGCTTGAAACGGCATGCAGGCACAGTTAGATTGTGTACTCTGGGTGTTGACCACAGAGGTTCACCTTTTTCCCTCTCTCGCAGATTAGGTCCAATCCCTGTCTACCTCACATATTATCACTCACTTAGTACGCATTACAAGCGATCAGTGAAGTTCGCTTTATTGTATTTCGCTGTAACATTATAAGGAGGAGGATATCTGGAATCTAGATTTTTTATCACCAGTCTCTGTGAGACTTCAATCTCGAAGATCAACTTTGCCAGTTCAACAATGTGAGTTTTAAATCTGAGATGGAATACGATGGAGAGAAGAGAGCACAGGTTAGACATACCTATTGAATGTTCGGAGTCGAGACTCGAGACCACGTTCCCGCAGACAAAAACGAGTCATGCAACTTCCAAGCTCGCGGAGTCCACAATTACTCCCATAGGCTGAATCCGCAATCTTTTGAAATGCTTCTAGAAATCCGGCTATGCATTGAATCACAGTCCTGCGTTAGGTGGGACAAGGAAAAATTGGAAAATGTGGACAATGACAGTTATAGAATAAGCAGACAGGTGAAATTCTACAGGGCAACTAACCAACGACAAGTGCGTTTGGCCACACTGTAAACAAAGAAATGTACGATAGCGACAGCAGGTCCTCAGGACTGTGGGGTTTACCCCGTCTGCTGTTCATTATACTTATGTGTGTAATAAAAAAGTGGTGACAAAAGTGACAAAAGCCCATCCTTTCACGCTCACCCACTTGGAGAAACTTCATTCACACCCTCTCGTTGTTCTTCAATGGGGGCGTCTGCTTACTTTCAAACGCCCCAGTATAGATGACAATCACAGGATACCACACATTCGGTCCATGGACCATTCCCGACTGGAACCGTCTCCAGCTAATGGTTCACAATGGACGAACAGTGAGGATTCCTAGAAGCGCAGTGGGGTTTTCCGAAGAGTGACCTCTAGTCAACAAAAGGACACGAATGCCCTGAGATAACATCGTGAAAAGTACGAACCTGGTCACTGACTAAGTGGGTTCATCGCTATGATTTTTGTTGAATAACACTCGGGTAGGTCTGTGTCCTAGACACAAGACGAGGTGGTGCTGAAATCATCACTGAGTGTTGTTCTCCAAGATTCGATAAGGGTTCATGCATGAAGCCGACTTGCCTTGAAGCAAGAGAAATTCAGTATGGTTGGATGTTTCAGTTCATGGAGTTGCATGCAGTGTGAACATCTGAAAATACCTCTTAACGACATATTCTCTGCTGGGAAACCATATATACTGCCTTTCATGGAGAGCGGGTTTCCGTTCAAGTGACAGGACGAAAAACCGATGTCAGGACTATAATCCGGGTGACGGGTCGACGGCATTTAGCTTAACGAGTTGGATGACTTTGATTTTAGACCACTCATGAAGCGGTGTATGAACTA